AAGCTTTATTTAGAACACGTGGTCAGAAACAGGCATAGGTCAGACAATGGCAAACTGGTATGTAGAAGACAAGGCAAGAGCAGTCCGGTAAACAAGTGAGGGTCAGTCGATGACGAACGTCATCCAACAGGGCTAGACTAGAGAGATAATCCAGGTACAAGGCAAAGGTCCAGGCAGGGGCAAACAGTATCCGAACAGGGCAAGACGAGAGAGGTAATCCAAAGTACACAACCAATGATCAGAACACGAGGAAATAGACAAGGCAAGACTAAGATAAGGCTAGAAAACTAAAGCAGGCTCCGTAAGGTCGCTATCAGCTATAGCAGTGATACACGCTAAACAATACTCGGCGATCTGAGCAGGAACTGAGTGGGTGTTATGTAGTGTGTGTGATTGGTTTCAGGTGAGTGTGTGATTAGTGAAATGGTGCATGGGAAATGTAGTCCGTGGTGACGTGCAACAGTCAGTGTAGTGAGAGAGTCAATATGATGGACGAGTGACCTGGTGGCGATCGGACGGGAGTCCACGGACTGGATTCGTGACAAAAAGATACAGAGAGACAATAATGCATTGTTTACATTCTTATTAAACGTAACAGATATAAGGAAACATTCTTGTCACACAGATTGTCAACAGACACTGAAAGAAAAATACTAGCCTGCATATTTTCATATCTTGTTAATTTAATTAATTGAAACCAACTGAAACACTTTCAAAAAATGAGAAACAAAACGCGGGGTAGATCGCCGCTATACTTTCTTTTAGGTCCAGTGTTCTGTCACGGTGCGGTGTGATAAACGCACGACGAAGAAAAAGATGAATGCAAATAATCTTTAATATAATCCACACAGAAGGAATCCACAGAAGGTAGGCAGTAATACACGCACAACTCAACTTTAACACTGGACCAAGACAGAATGCACAGACTTGACTAAATATAAGGGAGCTTGATGAGGGACAGACAGGTGAGGAGGATGAAATAATAATGACAACGAGAACAGGAACATAACCAAATATGGGCACAAGGAACTAACTAATCAAAGAGAGACAGAAACAGGGTCAATGAACACATGAGGGATGAAAACACAACAAAACGTCCGAAGACCAATATGTATATATGTGCTTTCGAGAGAGTCAATATGATGGACGAGTGACCTGGTGGCGATCGGACGGAAGTCCACGGACTGGATTCGTGACAAAAAGATACAGAGAGACAATAATGCATTGTTTACATTCTTATTAAACGTAACAGATATAAGGAAACATTCTTGTCACACAGATTGTCAACAGACACTGAAAGAAAAATACTAGCCTGCATATTTTCATATCTTGTTAATTTAATTAATTATAATTCTATTAATTATATTTAAGTCTAGTAATATTGTTTAGCATCACATAAACAGTCTGAAGTTATTAGGTTATTAATTAAACTAAATTTAAGGGTAGAAATACTAAATTACCTTAAACTAAAATAGCGAATTTCTCGACACTGCCTGCTGCTGACCGTCACGGTGCGGTGTGAGAAACGGACGACGAAGATGAAGAAGAATAATGTTTAATATAATCCACACAGAAGGAATCCACAGAAGGTAGGCATGTAACACACGCACAACTCAACTTAAATACTGGACCAAGACAGAATGCACAGACTTGACTAAATATAGGGGAGCGAAGACCAATATGTATATATGTGCTTTCCTCTCAATAGCAAAATAAACACAACAAAAATGACCAATGTTTTGAAGAGGCACCAGTCGAAACAAACAACAGTAAGGACAGTAAGAATGTGAGGGCTCTAGATACGGCTTTGGATGTGACATGTAACACACGCACAACTCAACTTAAATACTGGACCAAGACAGAATGCACAGACTTGACTAAATATAGGGGAGCTTGATGAGGGACAGACAGGTGAGGAGGATGAACTAATAATGGCATAACGAAAACAGGAACATAACCAAATATGGGCACAAGGAACTAACTAATCAAAGAGAGACAGAAACAGGGTCAATGAACACATAAGGGATGAAAACACAACAAAACATCCGAAGGGGTATGACAGTTCGCCACCCTCCCGGAAGGTGTGACCTCGCGCCACAGGAAGAAAGGGTGGGATGGAGGGGGACTTAGGAGGAGGACAAAGAAGTGGATGTGGGATGGTGACAGGGGATGGTGCTGGGCTGGCAGGAAGGCAGGCAGACAACCCAGGTGGAGGTTTGGGCAGAGGACGGACTTCCGGGAGGAGGACGGTGAACAGAGTCCAGGGTGGAGACGACGGAGGGAGGAGCCATGGAGGAAACAGAAGGGACCAGGGAGGATCAGGTGGAGGAAGGAGCCAGAGTGGACCAGACGGAGGGAGGAGCCAGGGAGAAGACAGGAGAGACCTGGAGCAGGAGGAGCCAGGCGAGACCCTGGCCGCAGCCATGATGGCGACCCACGGTGGAGCCTATGGAGGGAGGAGCCATGGTGGAGAAAGGGCTGACGACTCCATGGGGCCGACCAACGGCGGCGGAGCAGGTTGAGGAGGAGCCCAAGGCGGAGACGGAGAAACGATGAGCCAGGGCGATGGGGAGGATCCGGAGGGCCAAGGCGGAGCAGATGGCGCCGGCGCGACAGAGGACCGAGGTGGAGCCAGAGGGAAGGAGGAGCCTGACAGAGCCGGAGGGATGGGGCGCAGCCGGAGGAGTGGAGTCCCGAGGCAGCGGATGGTCGACGAC